CAAAATAATTATCTCTTGCGTTCGTTTCGTTAGACATTTCTATACAAACCAGAGCTGCAATCAATGCAAAGGCGGCGCCGATTCCCGCCGAACCAAAGAATACAATACCAAACCTAACAAATCCTATCAATTCATAACACATTAATACTCATCTGAGATCTATATCTAAATTTATACATCACTAATGGTTTGAAAACATAAAAACATGTATTTTAAGAAATTCTTCGATACCATTAATAACAGCGACTTCACCGGAAACGGATGAAGACATCTGCGAGAGTTCGAGTGCAGTCGTCGACAATACAATAGCGACCGCATCGTTAAGAATACTTTCACCGAAGACTAACATATTTAGAATGGGATCGATATCTAAGGCGTTAAATATGGCGAGAGTGGCCACCGGATCAACTGTTCGGTTATATTGTGTCATCAATTAAACACACAATTATTAAAATCAATTCAAACACTAAAAAATAATGTCATATATTAATTACCCGCAGATATAAGCGCTCCAAAAGCAAAGCTTTCGGTAAAATTCATTTTATACGCGACGTCAGCCTTAAGACCAAAGCAAACAATTGTCTTAATTATTGACAATAATTAATGTATAAAATATAAACTCAATTGAATACAAACCAAACCCAAGACGTAAACACCGCCGCCGATAATAAAGGCCGATATAGAGGTACCGACGATCGCAAAGACTAAAATGGAGCCAAAGTTTTGAAAAAAGTTGCCTTTATGTAAGTTATAGCCCGACTCGTAGATAATGGGCGGCAATAGTATTAGGAAAAACATCGTTGGGTTCAGAGTTTCCTCTTTCTGTACGTTAAATGCAAATAATTATTATATTTGACAGTATTTGGAGATCTAATGGATGCATACTTTCCAGTCTCCCAAATGTTGGTTTGATATTAATTTCATTATCAGACCAATAGTTGCTCCGAGGAATACAACGGCCAACGATTCCGGGATGTATTGAAATTTGGTTTGGATTATGAAATGAATTAATACAATACACGAAGCTATACATGGATTCAATTCAATTATAT